GCTCAGCAGGGTGGGTCAGTCCCCTCTGCCTGGAATATCCCATGTCTCAGGCTGGGTCTGTGCCTTGGGCTTAGAGGGTGGGTGTGGGCTTGGGAGCAGGCAAGTTATGGCTATGAGGACTCACCAGTTAATTGATCTGTTTTGAAATGACTTGGTATCCTTCAGCTAACATTTATGAAGTGCCTGGGATGAGCCAGGCGCTTGCTATTCCCGTATCAGCTCTTTATAATTAAAATAGCTCAAAACAACCCTGAAAAGCAGGTACTATCAACCCCATCTAATAATCAAGGAGACTAATGCTCAAGAGCTCATGTGACTCCCTAGCTTCCCCCCAATTAACAAATGCGGGGCCGGGATTTTTTAACTGTGTGGCTGCAAAGTCCTAAACTTCCATTTTTCTGGCATGTTCTGTTTTCCATGGCATCTTCCCCGCAAGCTTGTCACAGTCTTTCATGGGGTATGACACCGCAGAAGAGGAGAGGCCTTGAGGGCAGCTCAGTATGGGTTTAGTCTGATGGGCTCTGGGTGCGGCATCTTTCCTCTGTGTCTCCTAAAGCACAGGACAGGACCGGTTTTAGCCACTTACAATCAGAAACAGGATGTATTGCAGCCGGAGGTGATGTGAATTCAGTCCCTAAGGAGCCTCTCTTCCCTTTCTTGGCCAGGAGATGGTGCATCTTCCAAGTCACCACTGGAAACTCTTAACCCAGCGTCCAGATAGAGAAAAAGGCTTTGAATTCAGAGATACCCCTCCCCCTGCTATTCTTTATCATGTCAGCCTGTTGTTTTCCCACCTGTAATCAGTTGGTTTGTTTACTTTCCCTCTCCCCCACCCCAAGCCAGCTCCTTGAGGGCAAGGACCTTATTTCTCTAATTTTCCTTGGACTTCCATCCTCTAGTATGATAGCTAGCCCATAGGAGGTGATACATAGATTTTAAATGAATGCATGAATCTGATGAGAGACAGGTGGCTTCAGACCTGGCTTTACCATTCAATACCCTTGTGGCTTCCAGCAAGGGGTTCACTTTTCCTTATCTGCAAAATGGACTCACAATGGCGGTTTCACAGGACTGTTGAGAAATGTAGAGACAATATATAGAGCTGCTCAAAACTGGTAACCCTCAGATCCTGCCCCTCGGTATAATTGTGAATGAGCACCTCGATCCTGTTGAGGGTCGGGAAGATTTTATTCAGACCTTGCCCAGCCTTGAAAGCACTGATGTACAGGCCCCTGAGTCTCTGACTTCTCCCCAGGCGAGAGCCAGTGTCCTGAGAGCGGCTTCTGTAATGTGCTAACCTCTGCCAGCAGGACCGCAGCACGGAGCTGCCGGGGCTGCTGCAGAAACCGTGGCCAGCCCCAATTAAGAAGCCGTTCTGAGGAGGTTTTGAGGTTAACCCTGAAGAAACAGCTCCCCTTACACAAGCCTTTTAATTAAATGCTCCCGCTTACTTTCCGGAGCTCATTGAATCACTTTATCCGCATTGTGTTTGACAAAGCCCTGTTGCTCTGAGTAATGGGAAAGTACTAGATGAGGAGGCTTGATGGGAGCTGTCGGATGACACAGGCAGTGCCTCTGTGCCCCTCCACGGCTGAGCGCTCGCCTGCGTGGGCACCCGGCACGCGGGAGGAGGGGTCCAGTAAAGCATTTCCTGGTCCCTGCCTTGGGCTCGGTTCTTGAGATGCCGAGACCCCCCCAATGCTAATTAAGGACGCGAGTCCACCGACAGGGGGACCCAGGGCTCCAGAAGCCCGTGCGTGGTATTCTGCTGAGCTGTGTTGTGTGTGAGTGACGCTGCCCTCAAAGAGTTTACAGTATTGTTGGAGAGACAGGACTCATACAGAAAATATTACAGGAATACTGTTGTGCCGAGCCAGGCTGTAATGATTACAAAGCAAGAGCCGCCACGTATTCTTTGGTTACTATACCGTGGGTCCTTTAAACATGTTAATGCCATTTGATCCTCATTACCTGCCCTCTGAGGATCAGCAACCAGGGCGTGTTCACTCTGTCCACACAGTATTTTCCCAAGGTGGGTGGGTCCCGGCTTCTGGTTGGGATGCAGCATTTCAGTCTCCATAGTGATTTCTTTCCCTTCCCTCCCAAAAACAAAATGAAAGATTCCGGACAATGCTTAGTCAATGGTAAGGCCGTCTCTGTGTTTCCCTGTACCCTCCCACATCACTGCAGCTTAGGGTGGTCCTCTTTGAGAGGTGGCTCCGTCCTGCATGGGGTGGGGATGAGGGGGGCAGTCACACCTCCACCCCCAGCAGACATGCTGAACTCAACAAGACTTTCAGACCTCCATGCGGCTTGGGAAAGCCTGCTCACACCTGGGCCAATCCCTGGGTGGTCTGGACCCTGGTTCTCAGAGCCTGGTCCCTGGAGCGTCGGCCGCAGCCTGGGGTGGGCCCGGCAGGCTGGTTTTTCACAGTTCTCCAGGGGATCCTGATGAATGCTCAAGCATAGGAACCACTGGGCCGGGTTCTCAAACCTGCCTGCACGGGAGAATCGCCTGGGAAGTGTGTTGTGGTTTTTAAAAAATTATTATTAACCGGATTTTAATATGTAGTCTTTACAATACACTTCCCTTTTTGAACTGGTTTAGATTTACAGAGAAAATGGGAAGGTAATACAGAGCGTTCCTATATGTCCACACTCAGCTGCTCCTATCTTACATTGGTATGGTACGTTTGTTCCAGTGAGGAACCAATATCGACATGTTGTTATTAATTAAAGTCCAGGTGTTACTCAGGTTTCCTTAGTTTTTATCTAATGTCTGTGCCAGGACCCCATCCTGGACCCCACATCACACTTAGTCCTCATGTCTCCTTTGGTCCCTCTGTGCCAGTTTCTCAGACTTTCCCAATTTTTGATGACCTTCACAGTTTGAAGTGTACTGAGTAGGCATTTTGTTGAATGTCTGTTAGTTTGGATCTGTTTTATGTTGCGCTCATAATGTGGGGTTTTGAGAGGAAGACCACAGAGGTGAAGTGCCCTTCTCTTTTCATCACAGTCAACGGTGCATGCCATCACCGTGACTTATCACTGTTGATGTTGACCTTGACTGCCTGGCTGAGGGGGCCTTGGCACCTCCATTTGCCCTAGTGGGTTCTCTACTGTCAAGTTACTCTCGCTGGTGCCCCCCAACTTTCCCCATTGTACTTTCTTTGGAAGGAAGTCACAGTGTGCACCTATAGAGAGTGGGGAGTTGTGCTTCACCTCCCTGAGGGCAGGGTGTCTACATAAGCTGTCTGGAATTCTTGTGCATGGGAGAATTGTCTCTTCTCTAACATGTATTCATTTATTCTATCATTTGTTTGTATCTGCATGGCCTCAGGGATCTTCATTTTATACTTTCAGTTATAATGCAATACTGCTCGATTTTGTTGCTGAGATTGTTCCATCCTTGTCCATCAGGAGCTCTCTCAGTTGGCTCCTGGGTCCTTTTGACATACCTCATCATTGTGAAGGTTAGTTTAAAATTTTATTTAGTACTTCCTTTCTTTTAGCCACGACAAGCTTCTCTGATATGTTTCCTACCCCAGTCCTAGAATCAGCCATTTCTCCAGGGAGCTCTGGTTCCTTTTATTGACAATGGTATCAGAAAGCAAAACCTGGGCCCTGGGTGTGCTCGCTGCTATTGGGGTGCCATTGATTCTGGACACTCTCAGCTGACAGAGCAAGGAAATACGTGTGTACGACCTGTGTATATACAGCCATCTACAGATAGTCCTGTATGTAACCTTCTGTATCTGTATTAAACTAAACATGAGTTCAAACTGATGTCTTGAACCCTAATCCATTATCACATGGATCACTCTAGCCTCGTCCCCTTGCTTATCTGTAAGCTCTCACTCCAATAGTGAGAAACTTGACTGCTACCATCTGTCATCCACTTAATTGTTCGGTTCCAGCATATGTGCATCGTGGTATCAAAATTCTTACCTCATACCTATCTCCATGGGAGTCAACTTTATCAGCTGGAGTGCGGTGCTTCTGTACAGGTTATTTTGCGTGTAGTTTTACAGACTCCACTTATTCCTAAAGTTCCTTAGGTCAGCACCTTCCCCCTATCACCTTCAGTGGGGTTGTCCATACATTTGTAATAATACAGTTAGATGCTTTTATCACATGCTGCATTCCATCCTTGGAGTCCCCAATTTCTTCAATTTTTTTAAAAATTTACATACATTTAAGGTACACTACCTGTGCCGTGAACTTCTTTGGGATTCAACCAATGCTTAATGTCTCATGTTCACCATTATAGTATCACACAGAATAGGTTCACTGCCCTAAAAATTTCCCCTGTGCTTCCCCTCTTCCTCCTTCCTCGTATTTCACCTGAACCCCTGGCAACCGCTATCTTTTTACTGTTTCTATCCTTTTGCCTTTTCTG